TTATGCTGCCTTGAACGAGAGCTATGAAACAAAAGAACCCCCGTTGACTCCTCCTGAAGAGATTCCAACCTTTTACCCTGCAAAAGAGACTGTGCAAGATCAAGAGGAACCTTCAACTTCAGAGTCTGTAGCCAAACCAGCATACATTCCACCCCTTGTGAGAAAGTTTGCTGAATTGAAAGAAGCTTTTGATAAAGAAAAACAAGCTTTTGAATTGGAAAGAGAACAGCTCTTGAATGAAATATCTTTGCTCCAAACATCCTTTCAATCAAGCACATGCTCACAATCTCCTTCTCCTCCATCATCTGAAAACTGTGCTTATCCTTCTCCTCCGTCTTCTGAGAACTATTCTGAAAAATCTACAAATGATCCTGAAACTTCCACTTCTCACTCTGAGTCACCTTCACCGACAAGGGCCCCTGTGAAGAGGAGAGTGGAAAGGAGAGGAGAATGGATAGAGGACAAGTTAAGAAGAAGAAAGAAGGAAGAAGAATCTCGTCTAAGGAGTAGGAACTGGTGTTCAAGTGCTCTCTTCTATGCCAAAAAGAAGACATTTCTTAAGAGTAACTGCTCAAGCTCTTCTACTCTGAACTGTGTTAAGCCAATACAAACTTTCTCCTCTGAATCTGATGTCTCCTCCAACCAAGATAAGAAGAGGAATATTCAGAAATGTTCGAAGAAATCAGCTTCCGCTAAAGTAAATGTTGAGGGGGAGTATCAATTACCATGTTTAAAGTATCCCCTCAAAGTTTACTCACTCAGACATTTGAGAAGACTCTCTCAAGAAACAATCTTAAAAGACTTTCTGTCTGAACATTCACTCACTGCTAGTGAAACCTCTCATGTTCCAAAGATCAAATTACAATGGGTTCCTAAGGCTGAAGCTGAGAAATTAAGAATGTTAGACTCTTCTCAATCAGCTAGCCTAGGATCACAAATAAAACAGAAACTGAAACGGTTTTTCAGTGGTGAAATGGAAGGACCCATCTGGAGGTGGGTACCGACACATACTTAATATGTGTTGAAGGTCTGTCATGTGTGGTAACTGACCCGATTGCTCCACACACATGGCGGGTATGAAGACGAGCTGTGAGCAATCAACTGGTGCACATTATGAGGGAGAGTACTGGCGTGTATACTCTTTACTGAGCAAAAAATCAAGAAATGCACACTTCAACACCGGCACACGCCAAGAACAAACAACATGTGCTTATTCTGAGGGGGAGTGTTTCTTTTTCACTCCTCCTGGAGCCAAACAACGAAGAAAGCACATTCCAAGGGGGAGTTTTATACTTTACTCCCCGCGTAACAAAAACCACTACTTGCAACTTTTGAGGGGGAGTTTTATTTTTCTCCTCTTGGTGCTAGACAATGTAAAATGCACAGAGTCTCTCAAGGATGTAAATTTTGAGGGAGAGTTTTCAAAGTTCTCCTCTCAAGCGCCAACCATCGTGAAAGGCATCCTACTGAGTGCTCCAATTGAGGGGGAGTACAGAAAGAAAAGAAAAGATCAAAGAAAAGTGAGAGATAAGTCCTAATGGCTTAGTAAACCCAACTAAGCCTACCCAAGGGACAAAGCCGAGAGTGAGTGAGTAGCTGAGTGAACACTATGAGAGTGAGGAAGCAGAAAGCTCAAGTGAGCAAGAGAAAAATAATCACTGTCAAATCAGCTACCTCTGTTGTGCTATCAATTGAGAAAATTACTCCCAGTCACTCAAATACTCTGGACAATCCCCATAGGTTCAGGACTGAATTTATTTAGATCCCGGGTAGAAGTCGCTGCATTTTGTTCAAACGGCACATGCACAACCATACCCTAGACCACTCATTTGTCTCCCAACAGACAAGTGTTTAATCATATTTCATGGGGAATCTCATCTCTTATCACCGTCTCCTTCTGAGGCGACTGATACTGATTACAGTGGCCCATATCCCCACGCCACTGAACATTCATTGATCACGTCATGTCTAGTAATCTCACTCCCAAATGTTTTGAATTTTCTAGGACACAGACACTTTTTAGAGTCAGTTGCAGGTCTTCATGACCTGCGAGAACTTCCATAGGGATCATCTACTATACATGAAGACCAATGATTGGAAGGAAGTCCTGCTGTTGCAACACAGAATTCACCAACAAGTTCAGGCCATCGCTTCAGAGTTTATCTCTATAGTGATGATAATGGGCGTCAACACGACCCCGGGGGGGCTACGTTATCTTTGCTGATCGTTATGATCATGCCATAACAACTAGAGTGACATCTACTTTAGATGCCTCACAATGACTGGTTGGAAGTCCTGTTAGAGCTTTAATGCTTCTATCATTTTAATACAGGCCACACGTCAGTGTTTACATTGATGTTGTGATAACGGAACACCATGGTGTCTCTGGTGTTTACCTTTTTGTTTTTTCTATTTTGTTTCCCAGAATAAAAGAATAAAGGCATGACGCCCCGATTCATCAGATCGTCATGAGGGGGAGAGTGGTCCGCATGCTATTTACTCTAAAAAATCATTCTCGGACATTTCTCCTCCAACACAAAAAACGACGACTCTCTATTCTCTCAAAGCATCAACTACAAAGTCAGCTTCACATCAAATGGTCAGCTACGCTCACAAGTCAATCATCATTTTCCGTTGTGCAACCGACTGGCTCTCCTCAAAAGAATTCATTTCAAATAGTCAAAAAGACTACATTGTGGAGGAGACAAAGGTCAGATACTCGCGTACTAAAGATGAATCTCGTGCGTGCCTGGAAACCATAAGAACCATCATTCTAGAGGCGCCACCGGAGTTCATTCAAGATGATCAAGAGCTACTTCTTGAAGGCAAGGAATGCAAGAAAAAGATTCCTCAACCCCCGACATCAAAGATCAAATTACGAAAAAGACATCAAAGGGGAGATTGCAAGGATTTCTTCATAAAGCCTTCTCAAGAAGTCAAGTTCAAAGACAAAGGAAGCTGAATAACAACAAAGACAAAGATATTTGCGCTGCAATGCTGATTCAACACGATTGAACACCAATGGGGAGATTGTTGGGAATATTTTATGGTGTCCAATCTAATTAAATATCTTTGTATTTATGTAGTTATTAATTAAATGTGTAATATGGGCCACAAATGTATTTCAGCCCATTAACCCACTTGTAAGCCTTAAGTTAGACATCCTTATGTATAAAAGGAAGCTAACTTAAGCAAACCCTAACTCCCACAAGCCTCACGCACATTAACGCTCATATCTTTCTGAGAGCTTATACGGTATAAGGAAGAGGGAGTTCATCGTTAAAATCTTTTTCTATCATTCTGTGATTCTCTCCTTCTATTATATTGTATGATTGTTGATTGATTTTGGGACTAACAAAATGGCCACCCTCGTACACATTGCCAAGTCTATTTTCAACGATTCAATACTAAACACCCCTAAAATAATTGAAAAAGCAGAGAACGATGATCTCATGAAGGAGCTCCTAAGGAAGCTAGATACAACGGGGCTTATGAAAATGGCTACCTACCAGTACACCTACTACTATCCCGAAATAGTAGCAGAATTCTACATCAATTCCACACCCGAGACACTAAAATCCATTGTGCTTGGATTCGAAGTGGAGATCAAAGAGGAAGACATCAGGGAACTACTCTCTCTTCCTGGAGATGAAGCCCCAGATGTACCGGACCTCATAACCGACGAAGAAGGCTTCAAGGAAATAGTGTTCCTCCCAGAAGCTCAAAACCTCAACACTCTCAAGTTCAAGAAGAAACTGATGGTCACAGAGTATGCGCTTCTTATGGACATCATTTACAAATGCATTGACAACTGAACAACTGCATTGGATGAAATGAATGCACAAAGGGCACCCGCAATGGCCGCGATCATCTCTGGGACTGCACACAACTAGTCCAGGTACGTTTTCAAAGAACTTGTGAGATATGTCAACAAATCTCACAAGGATAGAAAGGAAGATGGTACCCTACCATTGCTAGGGTATGGGATTCTGATTGGGGAAATTCTCAAAAGGAAGGGCATCATAGGGAAGGTCAAAGAAGAAACCACTTGGAGGAAATTCCTCCATCAAACTTCAAAGGTAGGAGCCCCCGTGATTCAAAAGGAAGACCCCACTCTTCACTCTCATCAACCCCTCCAAATGGAATTCACGAGGATCAAAACAAAGCTAGCTAAAGGACCACGCTCTTGGTGTCAAGAACCAAAATCAAAGAGGCCAAGAACAACAACAAGGAATCTCCAAGCAGAACTAGAAGAGGCAGCCTCATCATTCCATCCCGAAGAAGCAGAGGCCTCTCCTCTCACCATTATACATAAGGAAGCAGTCGCCTCCCCCTTAGCCATAATTCAAGAGGAAGCAGAGGCCTCTGCCGGTTCCTCAAATGGAAGCAACAGCTCTGCTCTCCCCCTCTCCATACATATTCCAAGAATCACTCAACAAGAAGAGCAGGTGGTTCTCTTACTAGAGCAGGTGGCTCACCTACAAACTGAGAAGACCACTCAAATAAGCGAGAAGGTGGCTGCACCTGAGCCAGAGCAGACTCCTCCTTCACCAGCAGTGGAGTCACCCAAAATGACTCCTTTAGAGCAATTGGATGCAGATTTTGCAAGGGTCAAAGCATGGCGATCCTGGAAGTTATCAAGGATCCTTCTTCAAGCAAACACCTTCTCCCATTTCATAGAGGAAGAAGACTTCGTTGTGAACTGATGACATGGATGAGGCTACAAAACTTCACACAATAAACCAAGTGTACACCTTAAAGAAAAAGAGCCTCATAGCCAAAGATGCAATCGAAGACTCAGACGATGATGATCTGGATGATAATGATGATAATGCTGACAACGCACCCAAGGGACCGCCAAGATCAAGAGGTAAGCAAATCGTTCACTCCTCCTCTTCTTGTGATAAAGAACTCAGACAAATGTAACACCCCCAATTTCCACACCCAAAATAATACTCGAAATAATGATTTATTAAAAAGAAATAGTGAACTTTATTTTAAAGTACTCAAATGTTGCAGCGGAATAATAAATGGGAATTGAGTGTGTTACCGCCACACTTAGCATATCCATAGCTAAGTGCACAGGCTAACCAAGAATACGTGTCCAAATATCCTAAAGTGAGGGAAATAGAAAAGTAAAGATGTCCACTACATGTTCTTAAACCAAAAGTTCGTAAAGTAAAATCTTATTAATGATGATGTCTCTACATAGCGCCCTCAAGAACTCAAGCATGCATATCATCATCCAAAGGATAATCATCTGTAAAACACAGAAGAGAAAAGAAACAAAAATTAGCCGGAAATGCTAAGTAAGTTCACCCAACTCCGTAAAACAATCATGTTTGATACATATATATAATTTTTTGCAAAACATTTTGGAGGAAAACCTTTTAAAGCATTTTATACCATTCATAAGTAAAATAGTATTTATAAAACTTTTAATCACAAAATTCACAAGTAAGATAATAATATTTGAAATATCGGCACATATTTCCAAATCACCATAATTTCCAATTTATACCAATATACATCAAAAGGTGTTACTCCCATGTACCATATTTCAAAAGTAAAATTTTCCAATCTAGTACACCAAAATTCTCTTCTCTTTGAATTTCTCAAAAATTCTTTTCACTATCCTCCTAGTAATTTAGAAGGGCGGTGCTCAAGTTCTTATTGAGCCCGGTGGTCCGTTGTTATGTACGATCACCCCAGACTTTTTACCGGTACCACATCTTCCCCATATAGAATCTGAACCCCTACCTTAAGTGTGCACACCCCCTGAAAGAGATTCCAAGCCCTCCGGGTAGTAAGAAGCCCAAAGTAGTCGGGATGTTTTCTACCAACTAGTCCACCCAAAATTTTAATTCTAAGTGACCAGGTACCACTACTATTGCCAAAATTCACCAAATATTTATCGTTCGGGATTTTTCTACCGAACGCACCAAAATCATTTATTTAAATTGTTCGGATTGGTTACCGAACCCACCAAGCAAATAGTAGTATCCCTAATCACTCCTTCACAATTAACGGTCGTGAAGGGGACCGACACCACGGATTTCTCCCGCGATGCCCACCTTTAATTTATGAAAATCGTTTAGTCTTTTATCTCTTCCCAAAATTTTATATAGGAATCCTTCACAATTAACGGTCGTGAAGGGGACCGACACCACTGATTTCTCCCGCGATGCCCACCTTTAAAAATATTGATTTTTCTTTGTTTTCCAAAAACCAATAAGAAGTTCGTATCTTTCAGAAATGCTAAAATCTCCATATATTTTCTCAATAATCCAATTTAATCACAGCACCACCAAAATATTCATCAGTAGAAAATCTCCCAAAAATCATATACAATAACTCATATCAAAACCCAATAATAACGAACCAATATCTTAAGTACAAATAATATCATAGAATAATAGTCACTCAAATTCAATACACATAAATAAAATTCTCAAATATGCACATAAAAATATTCAATATAATTACGAGGCAAAAGTATAATTTTGGTTGCAATAGAACTTACCTCAACTCCAAGTACTCCTAGTAAAATCTTCTACTTTGCTTCCTCTCCAAGTTCACCTTCTATTAAAATTTCTAGTCAATATCTTATTCAAAATATAATTGAATTCTTCTGCCCCTTTTTTTTTCTTCTAAATTTCCCTTCTTATGATTCAATTGTATTTATTTTGTTATTAACTCATAGTTGTTATTTATTCCTATCAATCTAATTCATTGTTCGTTTAACTAGTCCAATTATATTTCATTCATTTTAATCATTTTGTTAATAACACCAAATTATCATAATCCATTTACAAAATTCATATTAAATCATCCAAATATTATAACAAGTCCGATTATTGTAGCTAATTTATTTGTCTTAATAAAAATATGGCAAATTAACTAAAAGTGACAAGTTTGATTTAAAAGTGAACAATACAACCCATTACCAATATTCCTACAACTCCATTTTATTATAACCATCCTTATTATTATTTGATGATTATCATTATATTATTATTACCATTTTTATTATTTTTATTATTATTATTATTAGCTCGGTCCAGCAGTAAAAGAATAACCCAGCTACAGTGGCCCAACACTAAAGTGATACGAAGTAGGAAAACTATGGAGTATGTACGTACTGTTCGTCTGCGTCGATGGCCTGCGGCCGGCGAGAAGTACAGAGGGAAGGCGACAACACAACTCAGGCGGTCAGCGGTGATCCACCTCCAAGCGGCGACTCCGGTGAAGTCAGCCACACGGCACCGCTTACTCTGTTCTTTGCAAGGGCGACTGAACGAGACTCCGGCGGTTACCCCTTCTTCTCCGGCGACGAAGTTACTACACTCCGGCGCTCTTCTTTTCTACCAGTGATTTCGTCTATCTCTTCCCTTACTGCTATAGACTACACTAATCGAGGAAGTCCGAATTGGTTTTGTTTTTTTTTGTTCGCATGTGGTACATATATATACGATAGTATATCCGCAGTTCATAACCTGATAACCGTTACGTTCTAAGCTCGGCAGTCCGTTGGTTTTCATACTTGGCATGCTTTATTTCCTTGGTCAGTTACTCCGTATTATGATGATAATAATTAGCACGTAAGTGCTTTGCCATAACCGTTGCATGTACGTAGTATATACATTATGTATGTATGTGTCATGTATAGTATGGATGTATGCTATGTTACCTATGCATGTGTTTTAGAGTGTATGAACATTATGTCATGAACCCACGTATGTATGTGGTGTGAGTATGTCATGTGCGAGTGCAGTAGTATATTAGTATTATTACGTATGTATTATTATCTTACTTTATCTTTAACATTTTATTAATTTACTGCCATCACATAGATTTAATGTATCTGGGTTTTTTTTAACGTATCTGGTTTAATATTTTTTTTTTGTTTCATTTTTTTTTGTCTGCTAGTTTATATCTAGTTTACTTCTATCAAATAATTTTTTTTTCTCAACTTTTAATTTTATGCTGTCACATTCTATCCCCCTTAAAGAATGCTTCGTCCTCGAAGCATAAGCTAAGTCAAAAGTATTTAAGAAGTTTCGTTAATATAGAGTGTTATAACCCACCTCCCTAAAAGAGAGGTTACGTCCTCGTAACCAGTTCAAAATGTACCCCGGCTGATTTTTTTTTTTATATTGCTTACGCATATCCTTCTATAATTTCCATGTTGCATTGCCGGACAATCGGTTTGACCATAAAACTTTGACCGATACCTCCGCTAAGTCTCACACATTTTAATGTCTAGGCTGTTTTGTCTTTCTCTAGCCAGTCCAGGTCGAGCACCATGTGACTACGTTACCGCTCTCGAGATGTAATGGTAGATTAGTCCATGGGTACATCGGTGTATACATATCTATAGGCTTCGAAATCATTTTTTTTTTTCAATTTTATACTAGTTGTAGGTCAAGCTTTAACTAGAAGAAATAAAATTATGAGATGTACTAGAGTACATCAACAAAAATGGTATTAACGCTATTAATACCTGAAATGTCATCATGATTCTTGGCCTGTGTCTGGTTCATAACATATATATGGCCCTTCTTAGGAGCATTTTCATTTCGGTTGTTATTGTTGCGATTTGCCATAGCCCCTGACCGATTTCCTTCTTGATTTCCTGCTCTTCCATTTGACCTTTGATGTTGGATCCCCTTCTCCGGGTTATGCCAACATTCGTACGCCCGATGGCCCAACTTGCCACAAAAATAGCATTTTACTTTCTCACCAGCGCAGTCAACGCCTGGATGGTCTTGCTTGCACTTCTTGCAGTTAAAGTGTCTATCCTTCCTTACCTGTATCGGAATTTGCACCGGAAGTCTTCTCTCCTCATGTGATCGATTAGCCCTCGTCACTGGCTGTTCTTGATGGTAAGTTTTTAACTTTTTCACCATTTGCGAATCCTCCTCCTCGTTCTTCTGATCCTTCTTCTGTGTGTCTCGTTGGAGTTGAATTACCCAATAGTGTTTTGCAACTCTATAATAGGCATCATCCAATGTTTGGCATTCTTGCACACTAAGGGCCTTTTGTGTGTCATAGTTAAGTCCCCTGACGAACTTGTCGATCTTGCTCTCCTCATCGGGTACTAATGATGATGCGAATTCCGCTAATGAGACAAATTTAGTGTGATAGTCTTGCACCGTCATTTCCCCCTGTTTCAGATGTAGAAACTTGTCATAATTTTCTGCCTGCACGTGTGGCGGGTAAAACCTTTTTCGTAATGCATGCTTGAACCGTTCCCAGGTGAAGTCCGGTTGTGCGTGCAATCCTGGTCCCACATTAACCCACCATTTGTCTGCTTCTTCATGCAGGTAATATACAGCAATGTCAACTCGTTGTTCGGCTGGGCAATTGATCGCATCAAACAGCTTGTCAAAGGTGCGTATCCAATTCTCGAGAATGATTGGATCCTCTTGCCCAAGGAAGCTCGGTGGATTTCGCATCGCTACACGGGTTTCCATGTCATTGCTGTTATGACGTGGCTGGTTGTTTTGTAGTACCGCATTCGCAATAGTGTGAGCGACTTGAGTAAGCAGGTGAACAGTTTGGGCCAATTCCGCATTGGTTGGCACAACATTCGGGTCACGTCTGGGTGGCATGATGTCTCCATGAAAGGATAAATTCTTAGTATTAGTACAAGATTTTTTTTTTCTAACTTGATTCCTAGTTATCCTAATCTAAGGATTTCAAAGAAGTATATGGCTGCCAGAGGCTTTCACATATGGATTTCACATCCCAAAATTTCACATTCCAATAATTTCACAAGTACCCCACATAAAAGAATGTACATACCTCAGTCATGAATTTTTCCTTTTGAGGCTCTACACCATTTGGGGTTCCCATTTCACATGTGGGCCCCATATAATCTCAAATATTCATAACACAACAAATACAACAAGTAGAAAGTAAATCTCACAATCCTCACCGCGGTCCTATAGTCCTATTTTGTTTTCCTAGTTTTTTTTTTATAAAAACCTTTTGAAAATCCCCATTTTTGAAGGTATGATTTCCAAAGTTTTCTTCCAGGATTTCGAACAATGAAGTTTCAGCACAAGGAGAAATTCCCAGTTAGTTGGACGAGCACAAAGGCTCAATTATGCACCAACCAGCTTAGACTGTTATCGTCTTTGTGACAGAATTTCTCCCTACGACCTATTACCCCGTGTTCTAGTCCCTTCGGAAAAACTAAGGCTCTGATACCAACTTGTAACACCCCCAATTTCCACACCCAAAATAATACTCGAAATAATGATTTATTAAAAAGAAATAGTGAACTTTATTTTAATGTACTCAAATGTTGCAGCGGAATAATAAATGGGAATTGAGTGTGTTACCGCCACACTTAGCATATCCATAGCTAAGTGCACAGGCTAACCAAGAATACGTGTCCAAATATCCTAAAGTGAGGGAAATAGAAAAGTAAAGATGTCCACTACATGTTCTTAAACCAAAAATTCGTAAAGTAAAATCTTATTAATGATGATGTCTCTACATAGCGCCCTCAAGAACTCAAGCATGCATATCATCATCCAAAGGATAATCATCTGTAAAACACAGAAGAGAAAAGAAACAAAAATTAACCGGAAATGCTAAGTAAGTTCACCCAACCCCGTAAAATAATCATGTTTGATACATATATATAATTTTTTGAAAAACATTTTGGAGGAAAACCTTTTAAAGCATTTTATACCATTCATAAGTAAAATAGTATTTATAAAACTTTTAATCACAAAATTCACAAGTAAGATAATAATATTTGAAATATCGGCACATATTTCCAAATCACCATAATTTCCAATTTATACCAATATACATCAAAAGGTGTTACTCCCATGTACCATATTTCAAAAATAAAAATATGGCAAATTAACTAAAAGTGACAAGTTTGATTTAAAAGTGAACAATACAACCCATTACCAATATTCCTACAACTCCATTTTATTATAACCATCCTTATTATTATTTGATGATTATCATTATATTATTATTACCATTTTTATTATTTTTATTCTTATTATTATTAGCTCGGTCCAGCAGTAAAAGAATAACCCAGCTACAGTGGCCCAACACTAAAGTGATACGAAGTAGGAAAACTACGGAGTATGTACGTACTGTTCGTCTGCGTCGATGGCCTGCGGCCGGCGAGAAGTACAGAGGGAAGGCGACAACACAACTCAGGCGGTCAGCGGTGATCCACCTCCAAGCGGCGACTCCGGCGAAGTCAGCCACACGGCACCGCTTACTCTGTTCTTTGCAAGGGCGACTGAACGAGACTCCGGCGGTTACCCCTTCTTCTCCGGCGACGAAGTTACTACACTCCGGCGCTCTTCTTTTGTACCAGTGATTTCGTCTATCTCTTCCCTTACTGCTATAGACTACACTAATCGAGGAAGTCCGAATTGGTTTCTTTTTTTTTTGTTCGCATGTGGTACATATATATACGATAGTATATCCGCAGTTCATAACCTGATAACCGTTACGTTCTAAGCTCGGCAGTCCGTTGGTTTTCATACTTGGCATGCTTTATTTCCTTGGTCAGTTACTCCGTATTATGATGATAATAATTAGCACGTAAGTGCTTTGCCATAACCGTTGCATGTACGTAGTATATACATTATGTATGTATGTGTCATGTATAGTATGGATGTATGCTATGTTACCTATGCATGTGTTTTAGAGTGTATGAACATTATGTCATGAACCCACGTATGTATGTGGTGTGAGTATGTCATGTGCGAGTGCAGTAGTATATTAGTATTATTACGTATGTATTATTATCTTACTTTATCTTTAACATTTTATTAATTTACTGCCATCACATAGATTTAATGTATCTGGGTTTTTTTTAACGTATCTGGTTTAATATTTTTTTTTGTTTCATTTTTTTTTGTCTGCTAGTTTATATCTAGTTTACTTCTATCAAATAACTTTTTTTTCTCAACTTTTAATTTTAGGCTGTCACATCAAACGAAATCAAAAACCAAATTCAGCATGAGGATGAAGAAGACACTCCAACACTAGCAGAGGTCTTCATCAACGAAAGAAGAGCAACCACAAAAATCATAAGTAATGCTGAGGTGCGCCTACATAAGAGACTGATCAAAATGAAGAAGCATTTTGAAGAGCTGCTAGAAATGAGGTTCGCTGAAGTACACTGCCATCTAAAGAGCAATTTGATGATACAACAAGTATTCAACTCAGAGCCGAAAGCTCAGCTCAACGTCCAACTCTCAAACCAACCAGCTCAGATGGAGGCGATTCGCAACGAACTTGAAGCTTTGAAAGCCATGGATGAAGAACTGGAAAATCAAATTGTAGATTCACTGAAGAAGCTAAGGGAAAAAGAGCTAGTAGTGGCCTCCCCAGCAGCAAAGCCCTCTGCCTAGGTACTTCCTATCATCTCTTTGCCTCCTAATCTTGAGCAGGCCTTTAAAACAATCCAAGAGCATGAGGAGTTCATCCAAACCTTGCGGACCAAGGAGCTTCCATCCATGCTTAATCTTTCACAAAAATTGACAACAAAGCAAGTGGAGCACTCAGAATCTATTGCCAAAACAAGAGCGGATGTTGCTAAGCACCTCACAAACTTACACAAGGCCACTCAGGATGCCTTTCACAGGCAGGGGGATGAACTACGAAAACTCGGCCAACGCCAGCAAGAAACAGCTGAGAAGCTGGTCAAATTGGACAAGGAGGTCAAAGAAGAAGTCAAGATTGACTTAGAGGAACTCCGCAACACTGTAATAGGACTATCAATCGAGGTCAACGACCTATAGCCAAGGCGAACACATCAACAGGAAGTTTCTTTGGACCCTGAACTACAAGATCTCCTACAAAACATCAAGACCCCTGCTGCTGCCAAAAAAGGGGGAAAAGTCAACACAAGCAGGTCCCTCCTCCAAAAGATCACTAGCAGCACAGAAAGGAGAAGAAACAAAAAGGAAGAATCAACTCTACAAAGAAGAAGCTGAAATCAGAAGAAGAAAAGCAGAAGAGGCCAAAGCCAAGAAAGAAGCTAAGAACAAACAAGAAGAAGAAAAACAAGAGTAGGCTAGAGCTGATAGTCCGAAACTGACTATAAACTATTGTACTCTATAAATTTGAACAATGTACAAAACTTCAAAGAAAATCAATAAAAATGTTTGTGACTTGTGTTGTATAGTTTTGGCATCATCAAAAAGGGGGAAATTGTTAGTACCCATTTTTGATAAGATTTTGATGATGCCACTATACTTAGCACGTGTACATTGTATCTCTTTTTAATTCTAGTATTAACGTGACAAATTAAATGTACAGTTTTTGAGTCTAAGAAATATTACCGGAAAAATAAAAATGCAATAAGGGAAAATTTCTTTACCTTAATAGGATATTTGAATCCTACCGGCAAATACTATTTGACTCAAAAATTACTCATATGTCACGAAGCTCGTAATATCAAATGAATGATTGAAGACAAAACTTGACCGGTATTTAATACTGAATCAAAGTACTGGGGGCCGCGGCATGGGACGCACACATGAAACTGTTTCATGTGGAGAGAAACTTCAGCGGGTGAATTATTCAAGACAAATGCATCAGCCCGAATTAAAGCTCCAGCACAAGAAGACGAATGTACAATTTGTCCTTGTCAGAATTTCAACGTCAAAGATTAATCCATCCTAACCAACGGATGAGATTAATTCAAAGGAGATGCCTATAAATATAGGCTGAAACGAAAGTTTCTAACCAAGCTTTGAGCATCCAAAGAGAGAAATTCTATCACAAGCATTCACGAGATATCTAGCAAAAGAGAAAGTGCTATTCTAAACTTTACTCTCTGCCTGGACTCTTGCTTCACTAAACTTCCACTTTACAAGCTCTTCATTGCTACATCATAGAAGTTTAGTTCCTAGTTGGAGGTTAGAACTTTCTTGTAACAAGTCACATATTGTTGTAAACACTTAGGAGAACAGTTGTTCGGATCCTACAGTGTAAGTAGATAGATAGAGTACCTTTTGATCCCCACTGGTTCATTAGAGAAAAGTCTAAGGACTGAGTAACTTTGAGTGGTGCTATACTCATCGTGAAAAACGTTCAATCTAGGCCTAAGTGTTGTAAAGGCTAGATTGGCACTAAGTGTATTGGGCTTAATACTTTTGTGAAATCCATCTGAAAGAGGGTGGGACTGGATGTAGGAGGATTACACCACCTCTGAACCAGGATATATCGTGTGTTGAATTCACTTCAGTCAACAAAGCACACACCAAACACTTCTCACATAAAGATTGTAGTTTGTCGGCGGAATCCTAAGCAGTTGTCTTAATTGACCCAACTGCTTATCCTACTGCTTAATTACTCACTTTCTTTGAGACCAGATTCACACCTTTAACGTGCACCAACAACACCTAAAAGGATCACTCTATCAGTTCTCTGAAACACACTTTCTAAGTACAGCAGGTGCCTCAGCAGTTCCCTGGAGTCCACCCAACTGCTGAGCCCTCTGCTCATATATACTTGTTTCATGTCACCGTCTCAAACATCACCAGATTGTCACTACCTCATCAAGAAGTTTGCTTAACACAATAAACTTTTGACCTAAGTAGGTGCCTCAGCAGTTCCCTCATATTCACCCAACTGTCGAGTCCACTACTTCAGCAAAAATCTAGTCTCCCTTCATTTAAGCATACTTACCAAAAGGCGTCACCATACTCAACAAACAACTATCTCTACCTCCATCATACACTCTGCATTTCCTGAGCAGTTGCCTCAGCAGTTCCCTGCTCTTAGCCACCTGCTAAGGCAACTGCTAGCATTCTAAGCCAAACACTCTCCAAGTTAGAAAGTGGCTAAACACTCATTACACAAAGGGTAAAGACTTCCGCTGTGCATCTATAAATCTCTCAAAAGTTTATAGATTAACTCTCTTAGAGGGAAAACGTTCAAAAGTCGAAAAAGATTTAAAAGTCTATTCACCCCCCTCTAGACTTTTACCCTATCCGGGACCATCATCCTCTTATGGTTCTCATCCAACAGTGGTAGAGCTGACATGTCCACCTTCATGCCGGAAACAACATTGTTGACGAGTTTCTTTACTTTCTCCGTAGTGAGGTCGTTGATGTTTAAGAAATGCATTTTCAGAGAGAAAATTTGAGAATTCCTGGTGCTTGAGAGTTTTGGGAGAGTTTGAGAGCTTGAGAGCAAAAGCCGTTTAGAACGATGATGTAGCAGTAGCGGTTTAGGTTGGAGAAGGTGGGTATAAAAGGCTTTGGGTTAGTGGACGTTTGGGATTATTTGTGGTTTCGAGGTAGCATTTAAAGAAATGCGGGCGGAAAACATTTCCGTTAAAGAGGTAATAATCGGGGGTAAAGTTGTAAAAGACCTGTTTGTTGGTCCCGGTTATACTGGATACAGTCTAGAGGGGGGAGGGTGAATAGACTGTATTGGTTTTTAGTTTTTTTTAAACTAAGTACCAGATTTACAGGATAGCCTGTTCTGTTGAAAGAACAGACTGGCAGCGGATGGGGTTCTGGTAGGGAGTTCTGTTAGCCTCAGAGAAGCAAAGGCAGTAGGCCTTCTGTTAGCTCGTAGAACAAGTTCTGTTGAACACAGATACCAAGTCCAAGGAGTTATACAGTTCTAACTAAGTGCAAGTATTAAAAGCAGTAAGTAAACGACACCAGGGATTTTTATAGTGGTTCAAGGAACAACTCGTTCCTCTAATCCACTGTTCCACTAAGCTGTAAAAACTGCCGTTTACAAAGCCTTAGTCCTAGTACTTAAGAAGCACTCCACGTCTTCTTCAAGCCTAGATGTGTCCTGGGATGCACTGCCTGGCTTCCTTTATCACTGGTCCTTTCACTGAGTTTCCTTGAAGTATCACCACTTCACTACTCCAGTTACTTGGACGTCCTTCTTGTAGCAAGAAGAGTTTCTGTTGAAACAGGGGTTCCTCCAACTAGCTTCGTTACAAAAGATTTGTATGTGATGAGCTTGAAGAGTTTGAAGAACACTTGGAACTTTGCTTGAGTTGGAAAGAGTATTTTTCCAACTTCTGCCTTCTCTTGTAGAAGATAATGAGTTTGAATCTCAAGGAGGCTTTTTGCTTTTCAGAGTTTGAATATCTTGCAAAAGTTGCAATGTAATCTTGGCAAAGTTGTAGCAAAGTTATCCGGTTGTTCTTCGTAGTGTATCTTTTATACTGAGGTTGTCTTCCCGTTGGAGGAGTAGGAGGACAACTGCATTTAATGCGCGATCAGTTGACTTGACTAGTAGAGCCCGATAAAGTTGGCGGGTTACTATTTTGGGATAAAGTATTCCTGACATTGCGGCCAATCATCTGCAATTACTCTACGTAGCATGGGGTGCATTAAATGAGCATTTAATGCATGCACTGTAGCTTTTCCGTTTCATACTCCTAG